CCCTGAGGAGCAGTGGGCCTCCGGAGCCTGGGCCTGCGGACCCTGAGCAGCCTTCAGGGCAGGCAGGAGGCTGGGCTCTTGGGGACCAGAGCTGTGGGGTGGCCCTCTGGAGCTCTGGCTGGGGAGGAGGGTGTGCTCAAGGCACAGCGGCCGCTTCCCGGGAGGGGCAGATGTCACCATGGCCCAGGCATGTGGACGTCTAGATTGCGATTCTGGAAGACGCAGCAGGCTCTCTCACGTGGATCCGGGCCGTGGGTGCTGTTCACAGGTCTTGCCAACCTCGGTCTCTGGAAGAGCCTTCTGGGGCCAGCTTCAGCCCTCCCGGGCCAGGCTCCATCTGGGGGGTGGTTTCCGGGCTGATCAGAATGTCTCCTYCCTACTTCCCCAAAGCAGCCCTCTGATGGGACAGCCCAGGAGCTGGCCCACCAGGCCAGACTCACAGAGGTGGCCTGTGGGCGACATGAGCGGGCCAGCCCTTGCTGACGGGGGCCACAGTCTGCAGGTCTGATGTCTGGGAGTCATTTGGAATCACTGAAGATATTCCAGGAATAAAGTGACTGGGTCCCTGAAAGGCGAACTCGGGCAGGGCTCAGGGGAGAGTGCTCTGCGGTGCCCTGCTGGGGGCACCATGTCCTGGCAGCTTTGCCCGGGCCCTTTATGACTTGAAAGGCTGTTTTCTCCAGCAATCGTGTGCACCCTCTGGCCGCGAGCCTGCCCTCCATCTTCAGGGCAGCCTGCCCAGCTTCCAGTTGTGGGGCTTGGTCTTGGGGAGGCTGGCTGGCGGGCTGAGCCACACCTGCACCCCTGGGCTCTGTTCTTGGCCAGCGCCAGCTTCCTGGTCTCCACAGGCCTCCTCGTGCAGCACAGTTGGGGTGGCCCACAGAACAGCCCTGTCCTGTTGAGGGCCACGTGGAGAGACCCCACGGCATGGCCCCATGTCCTCCTTCTGCTGCCGTGGCTGGCAGGCCACGTCCCTGAGCCTTATTTTACGCAGCAGCAGCAGCACGAGGTGATGGCGCTTTGCAGGCTGCCTTACAGAGCAGCTGTGCCCCGGGAAGCTCATGATGCCTGATGTCAGCCACAGACAGGAGAGGAGCCAGGAGGAAGCACGCAGGGCCTCGCGGGGTCTTGTGCATGCTGACCTTGCAGTGCCCTACGGTGGCCATGCTAGGAATGAGCCCCCTGCGGGGGCACAAGGCTCACACCTCACCACACCCCTGAGGGAAACCTGCACCAAGAGGAATGGTCCTCACGTCTCAGTGTCTATTCCTGCCACCAGAGGGCAGCACCCCAGCCACGGACCCTGCAGACAGAGGCCCCAGCTGCATGGGCTGGACAGGTGGGCGGGGTTACAGCCTGTGAATCATGCCCTTAAAATAGCCCCCCAAATGCAGAGATGTTTCCACGGCCTGGACACTGGTGAGGTCAGCCTGTGTTCTCCCGATAACGCAGGTCATTGTGTACTGAGCGCTGCTTGTTGGCTGGGCTGGTTGCTAGGCAGATGGCTTTGCCCGTGGTCCTAGCTTCCTGCCTGCCACCCCCGGCCAGGCAATGTGAGCAGAGGGTGGGTGATGGGTGACAGGACAGACAGACGGATGGACAGGAGCCTGGGGGTCCAGGGACACAACCCTAGAGGGGGCACAGCTGAGGCTGCGTCCTGGGCCACTGACCCCACAGCCCGTGCTGCCCCCAGGAACCTGAAACTGACCTTTCTCCTCTCCTGGGCTTGAGCCGGGCTCCAGCTGAGACCCTTGCCTAGCTCATGGAGGGAAGCGTGTTGTCCTTTGTGTCCCTAGTGGCTGAGGACATAACAGAGCCATGTCACCCCACCCACCACCTCTGGTTGAGCTCAGATGGGACAGGGGTGACTCACTGGGACGTCACCTCCAGGAGTCCCTGTACTGCCTGGAGGAGGTGCCATCTGGGGCTTTGGGGGGCGCCTGTTCTGCACTGAGCTGCTTGGGCCCAAGCCCAGGAGGCAGACGGAGCTCGCTGCTCCCCCCACCAGCTTCACGGACAGGAGAGCAGGCGGCTCCCGAGGCCTGCGGGGAGGGGCTGTGGGCAGGCTGTGCCCCTGCGGGGAGTGTCCGGCTGCCCCCAGGGTGCGTTGGAGGCTCACAGGACCTGGCTGGGCTCTGCTCCATCTGTTCTGCTGTGTAGCCTCTTGGCCTCTTAAGAGGCCAGGTGGGGTGGACACTGAGCGCTGGGTGCCCAGGGCCACCTGAGTTGGTTTTCAGGGTGCTCATCTCCTTCCTGCACCTGTGTCTCCAGGCCACACCTTACCTCGTCCCCAGGCAGCTGTGTCCTCAACCTTGAGCTACCCAGTATCCCTGTCCTCAGAAGGCCTGCTGACCCAGAATGACCTGGCTCCCTCCTGGCCCGTCTGTGGTCAGCCTCCCTCTGGGGCAGGCTCTGCAGAGGAGCACAGTCCTGCCTATCCTGGCCACAGGTGGCTGCTGGCAGTGGGCCCCAAGGGCCGTGGGGCGGGCTGGAGCTGGGGAGCCGCCTCGTCTGGGCCTCGGTTCCTTGACTGTCCCTGCAGGGAGGGGACCACGGGGCCTGGAGTCCCCAGCTGGTGTTCGGTCTTCTCATACAGATACGCGAGCACCAGTCCTGTGTCTGGGCCGAGTGCGCCAGTCCCTCAGAACTGGGCCAGAGCCCCGGCCTGTGGCCGCCTGTGGGTTCAGCTGCAGCTGGGTGGCAGTGGCCCTGCCCCTGTGAGCGTCCATGGCCCCTGCAGCCCAGGAGGGGGGAGGGTCTCTGCCTTTGGGCGACCCTCTTAGGAGGGTGGGGCCAGTGCCCTGGCCTCTCTCCTCAGCGGTCGAGCTGGGCAGTCCTCCAGGACTGGGCCCAGCCACCCCCCACGGTGACCTGCTCAGTAACACTGGGCTCCTGGCTCTGTCTTCCCTGTCCCACCTCCTCGCCCCTCACTCTTTCTTGACACCTGGGACCCCCCAGATATGCCACCTGCACCCCCAGCCTCTTGACTCAGCCTCAAGGGATGGAGACCAAGACCAGAGAAGCGGGMACAAGAGGGTCGTGGAAATACGTGGAGATGAGCCACTGGGACAGTCGGCACGTGACGTGGCCCCCTCTGCAGCTGCTCTGAGAAGCTGGCGGATGCCCCTGCAGTGGGGGCAGGGCAGCCACAGTGGAGAGAGAGGCTCAGCTGGATCTGGAGGCTGTCGGCCTGGAGGCTGGGCTCTGGGAAGGAGCCTGCTCCTGGGTGGCTGGTGAGGGGCGTACCTGGGCTCCTCTGCCTGGTCTAGAATTGGAAGCAAGGGCAAATGGCAGGATGGCTGTGGGCTCATCATCGGGCTGTGCCATCTCGGACGACTGCTGCAGAGCTGTCCTTGGACCCGGGTTGTCCCTAGAGATGGCGCCTGCCCTCCTGTGAGTGTGCTCTGCAGGTTGGCCTCCTGGCTGTGCCGTAGCCAAGGGATGGATTCTAGCAGGGCGCAGGCCGTGGTCCCACCGTTTCCATGTGTGGCCTGGCTCTGCCTGTGTCCCCTGGCTCTCAGTATGATCACAGAAAGCTCTTGGCACAGGGTTTGGTCCAGGGAGCTCCCTGGGGGCAGCTTCTGAACATGGTAGATCTGGCCCACCTAAATGAGGGGTGGTCAGCAGATGGGATGGGGTGAGGCAACTTGGCCTCTCCCCAGAGCCCCCAGCCTGTCTGACAGCTTGYCTGCCGTGCCAGGGTCCTGTGGCCGCCGCATTAGATGCCCACAAATGAGGGTTTAAAACAACACCAGGTCTTGACCTTGCCGTGCTGGACGTCAGATGCCTGACCCGGGTCACACAGGCGGTAGAGCCCGGGCTGGCACTCCTGGGCTCGCTGCCCTTCCACCGTCTTGGAGGCTACAGTGTTGCTCCTCTGGCCCTTCCACAGCCTCATCTCCGCTGACCACTGGGAGGAGGCGTCCTTGATGTCAGGGCCCTGGGCTGATGCTGGGCAAGCAGGGGGCGGGCTCTCCTCCTGTCCGGCTCCTAGAAGACCTGCCTGCTCAGCTGCTTCTGCTACGGAGGGGATTTGTGCACAGGTCTGCAGACCAGAACCCACACTTGGGCGTCTGGCCTCATGCCCCAGGCCACACCCCTGTGCTTGTCTGACCTCGAACCTCTGACCTCCGACCTTTGACCTCCTCAGTCCCTTTGAGTGGTTCCCTTGGGCAGGCGCATTGACACACTGAGCCCCAGCTGCACATGGCCTTTCTTGGCCAGCGATGCTGCTGCTCCCGCATCTCCCCACCCCACCCGCAGACCCACTGCGGCTCCTGCCTGCGCCCAGTGGGTCTGCAGCTCCTCCGCCTAACCAATCCTCCCTCTGGCTCCAGAGCTGGGCAGCTCCCCTGAGCCTCCACCTGCCAGCGCGGCTGCCTGGGGCTCCTCTCCTGCCCTGGCTGCCCTAGTGACCCTGGGTGGCCCCAGCATGCGGTGCTCCGGCCTCCCTTCCCCGGGGGGGATCCGGATGAGGAAGGCAGGGAGCAGCCGGGTGCCCAGGGTCGGCCACGGTGCCATCACGCAGCCCTCATCCCTGGCTCCCAGTGCCTCCTTATACCCTGCACTGTGGCCAACCTTAAGGGACAGCAAGGATATGCAGACCCACGTCCCGGGACCCAGAAGACATAGGCAGCAAGGTCCCCTGGGAAGTGCTGCTGCACTCACAGAGCAGAGGCCTGTCCCCTGCAGAGGCCGGGAGCTCGCTGGGGAGGATCCCGGCCCTGAGGCCCGCTGGGAAGGTCCTACCTGGGGGAGCAGCAGGGCTGGGCTGCCTCGGGAGGGCAGCAACGTTCTGATCACTCAGGCGAAGGGCCAGGATGCTCGTGGCGTGGGGCTCACTGCAGGTGACCAGGTGGCTTTGGCCCTCAGGGTTGCCACCTGTCACATGCTCTGACTCTTCACTGGTCCCAGGCAAGAGCGGGCCAGAGTCCCTCCTGGATGCCTGGGGTGCTGGGGGGGACACCCACCCTCTAACACGCTGCTTTCTCTGTCCGCAGTGTCACAGCCGCAGGCCACTCACAGCCCCCTGGAGCCGCCGCCGGCCACCACGATCCTATGCACCACGTGTGGCTCCGTGTGCAAGGGGGAGGTGCTGCGGGTGCAGAGCAAGTACTTCCACATCAGGTGCTTCGTCTGCAAAGGTGAGTGCCCGCCGCCAGCCCACAGCCCACGGCTGGCCGCAGGGGGGACAGCCTGGGGCCGCGGCCTTCCCACCCAGCCAAGGGCGCCCCACCCGGCCGGGGAGCGCCACCGTTTTGTTCCCAGTGAAGAGCCCTGTCCTTTTCCTCTAGTTGTGAGAATGCCCTGAGCAACATGCTGAAGGCAAATAACCAGACAAGATGAACGGGAMCGGGACCCGGGGTCTCTCCCCGCTGCCAGCCCCCGGACCGTGTGCGGCTGCCCTTAGTTCCCTAGAGACCCATGAAACAGCCTCTGGGGACACAAGACAAAGCCCCGCGGTGACCCACTGACCCCAGGCCACAGTGTAGGACGCACCCACCGCAGCCTCCTGACCACTCCCACGCCGGCCGCTGGGCTTGTCCAGAGCTTGGACTCTGGGCCCCTCTGTGGCCCTGACCCAGGTTGTCCCTCCCGGGTTCCTGGGGAAGTGCCCAGGGTCCTCCCCATAGGGAAAGGGGACAGCGAGCACAGGGGAAGCCCTGTCCCACCCACAGGCCTCGTGTCCCCCACACAGGCCACAGGGCGCAGCCACGTAGTCCCACTGTGGGAAGGGAAACCCAGAAGTGCCCCAGGCCACCAGCCCAGGGAGGTCACGCACCCAGGAGGCACACAGGGCCTGGTGGGGGCCGGTSACTTGGGGACCACAGCGATCCCCCTCTTCTCACATCTCTGAAGCCCTGAGGGGCCGACAGGGGCAGCAGAGCCGGTCCTTTGGCAGAGGCTGGCTGCAGCCCACCCCTCAGGGCCCCATCCATGGGGGCAACCATCCCTGCCAGTCCCAGGTGTCACCTGGATCCAGGCGTCCGCTGTGGGCCCAGGGTTGAGCTGGGCCCCGTCAATTCTCAGGTGCACCCTGTTCCCCGCGCCCCCTCCCTCTAATAAGGCAGCAGAGTCAGAGTCGGTGATGGGGACGTCCCTGATGGGCGGTTGAAAAGGACAGTGAGGGGAACGGCGGCCCCAGCACACCTGCAAGGAACAGCTTCCTGGGACGTGGAACAGAGGCGGGTGGAGGGAGACCTTTAGTGTCACCTCACACAGCACCCAGGCTCCTGTCCCCGTGGTGCCACCTCCACCACCAGGATGAGGGGACGTGGGCTCCGGGGGCTTTGCCGTCCCCCGCGGGCCTCCCACAGTCCAGCAGTTCTTCTGTTCCTGAGGGCTCTCCGGGTCCTGTCTGGACCCCTCTTGCTGACTCTGCAGGGGACGTCCCTCTGTTTCTGAGACGCGGGGCCCATCGGATGGCCCTTCAGAGGCTGTTAGAAGGGGGACACACGTCCTGTAAAAGGCGTTCCCACCAGCTGACCTCAGGACTGCAGTGAGGAGCAGGCCTGGCCAGCCCATCCCCCTGTGGCCCAGGCGGGCAGGTGGTGGGGACCACTGTCGCCCCTTCCTGCCGACCAGGTCAGCGAGGCCGGCCAGCACGGCCACACTGTTGGTGGGGCTCACTGAGGCCGGCTGGGGACAGCAGTGGCAGTGGGGGCAGGAGCCTGGACACACGGGCCTAGTCCAGCCCCACCTGCCTCCCATGACCAGGGGCAGGTGCCAGGCTGGCTCTGGGGTGTGCCCAGGAGGTCCCTGTGCCCCTGCTCGGGCGTGCAGAGCCACGGAGGTCCCTGCCAGCTCTGCTCACAGCCGTGTGTCCAAGTACGGGCCATCGTGGTCTTGGGCTGGCGTGTCGCCCAGGCTCCGTAGGGACACAGGTTCCCGAGCTCCTGGCGCTGGGGGTGGTGGGAAGGAGAGCCAGCTCACGGTGTTCTCGCCAACGTGGACGTGACACCTTGACGTGAAACCTGGAGGGGCCCCACCCCACCTCAGGGTCCATTTAACAACCCAACAGGGTCACCAGGACTCAGCTTCCTTCCCTGCCCCACCCTGACTGTCCCTTCTTCCACGTCCCATCTGGGCATGACACTGGTGCCTCTCCTCAAGGTCTCAAGATGGTTGCTGTGGCTCCAACAGCCACTCTCACAGGTGGCCAGCAGCCGGGGGCTGTACAGCAGAGGGCCTTCTCCTTTTCTTGAGGTCCCCCAGACTTACCACGGCACTCGCTGGCCATTCCTGGCCCACATGGCCATTCGACTGGCCAACAGGAACAGGACAGTTGTGACTTGGCCCAGTCACGCCCATCCCGGGGCTGGGGGCACCTTACCAGTCAAACTAAAGCAGGTCGGCCAGCTGGGGATGCCCAGGCCCCGAGGAATCCTGTCTCAGGTCTATTGTGTCTGGTGCCTGCCCCGGGCATCGTTCCCGTGCCACCCTTCCCCAGGGAAGCCTAGTGGAGAAATGGCCGCTCTGGGTCCAGACTGCTCTGCGCAGCAGGTACGGCTCTTGGCCACGGAGACACCCCTGGACACCCCCTTGCGCACTGAGCACCTACTGTGTGTCAGACGCAGCTCTCAGTGGGGGATGCATGGGAACAAGGACGTCCCTGCCACGGGAGCCTTGTGTTCCCTGTGAGGAGGCAGAGGCCCAGGGGGGCACAGGCCTCCCTCCCTGGAGAGGGACAGGCATGCCCTGGAGGGGTGCTGCCGGCCAAGCTAGGCTGGAGCCATTGCCGCCCAGCGCTGGGCACGGGCCGTAGGTGTGGCTCAGGGGACTCCCTCCGGCTTTGCCACCTGTTGGAGGCCTGGGGCGAGTGGCYGCCTGTGGGCCCACCTTCATTGTCAGGCTGTGACAGGAGCTGCCCGGGTCACCTGGCTCTCCAGACGGGGGTGGGGGCTGTGAGCTGTCACACTGGGCCTGGACAGCTGGTGGCCCAGGGCTGAGGGGCTTCCCTGGGACACGGGGTCAGCCGGGCACACAGTAGGCTGCTCCCTCCAGTCTGCACACGGCTCACGAGCGCTCCCGGGCCTGGAGGGGGACGGGGCAGGGGCGCCCCTGCTGCCTGGGGTGGCCCCTGCTGCCTAGTGACAATGGCTTCCCCGGGCCCAGCAGCTCCAGAGGGGGAGCCGGTGTGRCAGGAGGCAAAGCAGCCCGTCTCCTCCCCGCAGTGCTGCCTGCCACACTGTGGGGTGTGGGGACAAGGAGGCCAGGGCAGGATGCCCGTCCTCCCCCAGGCTTAGCCCAGAACAGAGCCGGGCCCATGTAGGAACTCAGGCTGTCACCCGTCCCCTGTGCAGCGTGTGGAGACCACCCACCTGGTGTAGGAGGGGCCCTGGGGACGTGGACACCCCATCTGTCCCAGCCAGAACAGAGGCTGGCCTGTCCCCCGCCCCCCAGATAGCCCGCCTCTCATCCCGAGAGCGCGCCCCTTTCCGGGAGCTTCCGTAAGCAAAGTCCACTCGAAAGGCTTCTGGCCTTTGGGCTGAGGTCACGTGTGGGGACGTCCACTGCACTCCAGGCCAGGAGCCTGGTCCCAGGGGACCCGACACCCAGGCCTGTGCCATGCTTGTGGCCTGGGGAGGGTCACCCTGCTGACGCCTGGCCTGTCCCCGCCAGCCTGCGGCTGTGACCTGGCCGAGGGTGGCTTCTTCGTGCGGCAGGGCGAGTACATCTGCTCCCAGGACTACCAGCGGCTCTACGGCACCCGCTGCTACAGCTGCGACCAGTTCATCGAGGGCGAGGTGGTGTCCGCGCTGGGCAAGACCTACCACCCCRACTGCTTTGTGTGCGCTGTCTGCCGGTGAGTGGCCCCCTGGGCACGGCCCTTCCTCCTCCCCCACTGCCAACCTCCCAAGCCTGTGCCAGGCACAGAGAGGTCAAACAACTTGTCGGGCCACACAGCAGCCCTCCTGTCACATCCATCTGTAGAACTACCCCACCCGACAGGCACGGGGCCTCTTCCCAGAACCCCAACTCCTCCTCCCACTGCCCCACCCAGACTGAAACTCCCAGGCCTCCACACCCTGCCCTCCCCTCTGCCTCGCTCCCTGTGCCATGTTGCTCCCGTGGCCCTAAGAGAACAGCCGAGCCCCTTGGCCTGGCAGAGGAGCCTCCCGGTCTGTTCCCTCCACCGGTCCCTTCAGCACCCTTGGGTGCCAGGCCCAGGCTGCCTGCTGACTGACAGGTGCACGGCCCTGCCCTGCAGTCTCCGCTGCCCAGCGCCTCCTGCAGGCTCCGCTCCCTGGCGCCTGCCCTCCCTCCTGCATCCCTCGCTGCATGCCGTGCGGTGCCCCTGGCTCCAGGACCTTGCCCTTCTCCAGCCCGTGGCTGTGGCTGCCTGGCGGGGGTCCGCGAAGGGCAGAGGCTGCGTCTCACTCCTCCCTGGCACCCGGGGCCTGGCACAGAGCTAGCACGGTGGCCACGGAGAGGGTGGGTCCTCACCCCGCTGCAGGGCCCCCGCTCCCCTCTGCCTGCTGCAGCCCCTGGGCCGAGCAGGAGCCAGCGGGCAGCTGCCCAGCCAGCCTGACCGCGCTCTCCCGGGAGGACGTTCCATTTCTAGGAAACAAAGAGGAGAGAATAGAAGGCAGGGTCCGCTTCCTGCCCGCTGTGGCACCACACCCAGGACGGACTGGCCGTCTGCTCCAACACTCCCTGTGGTCACAGCGGGAACGTGGTCAGCTTTTGTCAGAGGATGGGGACGAGGGGAAGTGGGGACGCAGGAACACGTCCCTGAAAGGGCCCTCTGTGGGCCCAGCCCGCAGGCCTGGCTTCGTCTGGGCTGTGGTTCTGAGTGTGGCTTAGAGACCAGGGTGGCGAGTCCCTGTGGCCTGAGAGGTCCCTCTGGATAATCCACTGTTTCACAGATAGCAGCAGACAGTGCTGGTCACGCGGGCGTCGCGGCCTGAGATCCTCACCCACCTAAACAAGCAGAAGGTGGAACCAAACCCTGTCCGTATGCTGGCTTCAGCCACCAGAGCAGGCGGGCATGGGGGTGGGGTGACATCTGCCGGAAGGAGAGTGCGGCCCTGGCCTGGCCGCGGCCCAGCAGCCTCTTGAAGCTGGGCGGAGCGTGGAGTCCTCTGGGTGAGGACTGGGGAGGCAGGGCAGCGGGGAGAGCATAGCACGTGGCCGCCTGAGGCCTGTGGAGGACGCCTCTGAGGCTTGGGCCAAATAGCAAGCCATGGCCACACGGAGGGAGTGGCCTGAGGTGGGCAGGGAGTGACCAGGTGGCTGCTGGCCCAGCAAATCCCAGTTCCAAGCTGCTGAACCCCAAGACACAGCAGGGACCTCAGGACTTACCAGTGTGACTAAAATAGCCCTGAAGGAGGAGTATGGCCATCCCCTACCAAGGCCGCCTCAGAGGATCGTGCTGGTCTTGAGGTGGACAGGCCTACCCGGCCAGCGCCCCCCACTCTGCAGGAAAATGAGATCCAGCCCACAAAACCAGAATCTGGGATGTCCAGCACCCCAAAATGCACTGGTCCTAAGAAACTAGAACACGTGACCACCCCAGAAGGAGACACCCAGGGAGCAGACCCCGCAGGACAGTGCGGTGTGCCCTGGACCACGACTCTGATACCATCGGTGTGGGAAGGCAAGGGCGGACAGATGCAGGAGGGCCAGGGAGGGGACGAGAAGCGGCCAGGGGGTGCAGAGGTGAGGACACAGTTCCTGAAATGAAACCCCCGGGAGGAACCAGCAGAGGGTCAGGAGGACAGAGGAAGTTTGGGGGCACAGATCAGCCGAGGGCTCCGGACTCAGCTCAGAGAGAAGACGACTCGGGACAGGAAAGAGCCGGTGAAGGGAGGGGACGGACTCTCCCACCCCTGCCTGCCGGTCCCTCTGCCCATCCACCCAGGTGGACAGGAGGCCACAGCGGACTTGCAGAAATAATAGATGAAAAATTTCCAAATTTGATGAGAACCACAAACCCGAGGATCACAAAGTGCCCAAAACAGGACAAACCCCAGACCTACCACGTCCTCACAGCCACGTTGGCCACCAAGAATCATAGCTGTGACAAGAGGGGCCTCCCCGGTCCACAGAGGTGCAACAGACCCCAGTGGCAGGTGTGCAGGCAGGACAGAGTGGACGGGTCCTCAGAGAGGAGGAGAGAAGCTGGGAACTGCAGTCCAGGTGGAGCCAAGGAGGCAGGGAGGGCCCTGGGGCATCCCGGAGTTGGCCATGGTGGTGCCACCAGCTGGGAACCCACCAAAACCCGCGGACTTGTGCATCGTGTCGTGTGTGGATACAGCGAGGGCCAAGAAAGACGGCACCCACAGACGGCACCCAAGGATGGCACCATAGACAGTACCCACAGAGTCTCCCACAGAGGCACCCACAGGTGGCACCCACAGACGGCACCCACAGGTGGCACCCACAGAGGCACCCACAGATGGCACCCACAGAGGCACCCACAGACGGCACCCACAGGTGGCATCCACAGGTGGCACCCACAGATGGCACCCACAGACAGCACCCATAGACAGCACCCACAGGGGCTCCCACAGATGGCTCCCACAGATGGCACCACAGATGGTACCCACAGGGGCACCCACAGATGACACCCACAGACGGCACCCACAGGGGCTCCCACAGATGACTCCCACAGATGGCACCACAGATGGTACCCACAGGGGCACCCACAGATGACACCCACAGACGGCACCCACAGGGGCTCCCACAGACGGCTCCCACAGACAGCACCACAGACGGCACCCACAGGGGCTCCCACACATGGTACCCACAGACGGCACCATAGATGGCATCCACAGACGACACCCACAGACAGCACCCACAGATGACACCCACAGACGGCACCCACAGGGGCTCCCACAGATGGCTCCCACAGACAGCACCACAGACGGCACCCACAGGGGCACCCACGTAAGACAGAGGCCACATAAAGGCCTTCTAGACCCCGGCCCTGGGGTCGCTGCCGCCACCTGCCCAGGAAGGCTGCCAGGCTGACGAGGCGCCAAGTCAGAAGACAGCAGGGAAATGCACGCGCCGGTCACTGCTGGTGGCCAGGGGCAGGACACGCGTGTCCAGCAAGGGGCGCTGTGCGGCTCCTGGGCAGGGAGGTCCACAGATGTAGCATGAGGGGCAGCAGGCCATGGGGCCGTGGGTGTTCCCCGGGGCCAGGTGGGCGTGCACCCACAGGACGCGTCTCATCAGTGACCCATGTTTGTAGGAGCAGCTGCCCTGCATCCAGCCCCTCCCAGGCCAGCCACGGCCAGCACTGCCCAACGACGTCAGCCGATGGGCTGTTGGCGGATGGCTGTAATGGGTTGTGTTAGTTCCATTTTGCAGACGAAAAACGAGCACAGAGATGTTGAGTGACTTGTTCCAGGTTCCACAGCTAAAGACTCCCACAGATCACACCAGTGACTGTGAGGGCCCCACTCAGTCCCAAGTCCCCATTCTGGGGCCTGCAAGACCTAAGACCCCGGGGCGAGCACAGCTCTGACGGGAGGGTGAGCGCAGGGGCTTCAGGGTAGCGGAGGGGGTGAGGGGGCTGTGGACCGTGGCCCGGCCCAGCCACACATGAACGCGGTCCCCAAGGACAGGGACGAGCTGAATGAGGACCCAAGACACACCTGCTGAATGAACGTCGGCCCCACAGAGTGGGGACTGTGGCATCTCGTGCTTCCCAAACGTCCCCGTGGCCGCCGGGGTGGCTGGGCTGGAGCTGGTGAGACGAAGACAGGGGACAGGGCCAGGCCACAGCCCAGGGGAGGGGGCGGGCACCCAGCATGGGCTCAGCAGCAGTGGCCCATCACTGCGGCCACCAGGGTGGAACTGGGTGGCCACGGAGCCCAGAGGTCCAGGCGGGCTGACCAGCCAGCCCTCTTCAGGGCGTGGGCAGCTCCGCCCTCCCTGTTCATGCAGACGTGGAAACATGTCAGCGGTACCTGAGCCCCCCACGGGGACGCCATGGTGCCTGGAGGAGAGGCCCTGCGTCCGCGGCCCGTGGCGCCTGCCATGCTCCGGGCACAGCTCTCCAGGACAGACGGGCAGGAGGGGACTGGGCAGTAACGGGCTCTCTTGTTTCAGGCTCCCCTTTCCCCCCGGGGACCGAGTGACCTTCAACGGCAAGGAATGCGTGTGCCAGAAGTGCTCCCTGCCCACGGCGCTGGGCAGCAGCGTGCACCTGTCCCAGGGCCTCCGGAGTAAGTGGACGCTCGGGGCACACAGGGGTGGCCTCTGTGGCAGGGGGACAGGCTGGGCCACACAGGGACCCAGCACGTGAGTAGCCACAGTGGGCAGCGGTGGGCACATATAGGGCAGCACCAGGCTGGGAAGCCCAGGCCCCGCTGCCACCCAGCCTGTGCCCGGCTCTGCCCTCCCGGGTGCCTCCAGCCCCCTCCTGCAGGAGGCCTTCCCGGCCTCCTCCTTGTCCTCCCCGGCAGCCTTCACCCCAGCTCCCCTCCTGCCCTGGCTTCCAGGGCTCTCAGGTCCCCAGTCCACCCAGACTGGGCCAGGCGCGTATGCAGTGGGTGCTCAATACATCCCTCCTGAGTGAGGAGGCAGGCGGTCATCACCGTAAAGGGACAAGTGCCAGCGGTGTCACAGAGTGCAGACGGGGTGGAGCGAGGTGGCCTCTCGCAGTGTGGATGGTCTTCTGGGTCAAGAAGCAGGACGGGCCTGGGAGGGACCAAGGCACCAGGGGACAGGGCACCCAGCCTGTGCCATGTTGCTGCAGGCCCCCGCTAAAGAAGCAGAGTTCTGAGCCCAGCCTGGGACTGTGGTCACAGTGGTGTCCCCAAGGCAGGGCCACATCTCGGGATGGGGACCCAGGTGGGCCTTCTCTGGATTCCCAGAGGCAGCCCCCACGCCCACCTCCTGCCTTGCCCCAACCCTGTCTCCCCAGCTCCCTGCTGGGTGGAGCCTGCAGAGGCCACCGCGCCCCAGCCTCCTGGTTTCACCCAGAGGGCAGGAGGCGCTCAGAGACCCGGCGGGGTGTGCTTGATGCTCTGGGGCTAGCTCGGACGGTGCTCCATTCAGAAGTTTCTCTCCAGCCGGGTCCTGGAGGGTGGAGCTTTCCAGATTGTCTTCATGGATAGGAACATTATGACTAAACCAAATAGAAGTCAAAAGATCTGGGCAAAGCCTTAAAAGGAGGGTATTCGTCTGAACTGTTGGTCCAGTGCTTCCTGGCAGCCAAAGCAAGAGGGAAAACCCAGCCACAGATCACTGTTTTGAGGGTTATTTTGAGATTAAAAAAAAATGTGATTAGGGCTGGGGCCGGGGCTCAGTGGCAGAGCACTCGCCTTGTATGTGTGAGGCACTGGGTTCCATCCTCAGCACCACATAAAATAAACAAATGTAGGTATTGTGTTCATCTACTACTAAAAAAATTCTAAAAGAAAAAATTTAAAAAATGTTATTGGAGAAAGTTATTGGCGTGAAGGATTCCTGCACTCAGGGCGAACAACGACCTTCCTAAGAGCAAATTCATCGTAAAATATCAACCATGCATTTTTCCTTTTTTTCCCTTTATATAATACTGGGGATTGAACCCAGGGGTGCTTCACCACTAAGCCACATCCCATCACTTTTTAGTTTTTGAGACAATGTCTTGCTAAGCTGCTTAGGGCCTCACTAAGTTGCTGAGGCTGGCCTCAAACTCACATCCTCCTGCCTCAGCCTCCTGAGGCACTGGGATTAGAGGTGTGCACCACCACACCCAACCAACTGTGCAATTTCAAAAAACACACGCTCCCCTGGCCCCCAGGGTGGTCTGATAATAAAACCTGCTCCTTCCCCCGTTCATGGAAGAACACTGAACTTACCCTCTTCTGTACCTAGAATCAGAATCACAGTCCCAGGCTCCTGTATTGTCATCTGAAGGGTCCCTCGCCTCTTGCCCCAGAGTGCCCTGCAGGGAGACTTCTTCCCTCCTCCAGGTGTGGGCATGCCACCAGGACTGAGGGCCTGAGGTTGCGGGTAAGGCCTTTAACTCCAGGGCATGTGGGCTCGGCTCTCTGTGGCCAGCGGTCTCCCAGGAAGTGGCCTCAGTTCTGACCCGTGGGACGCAGGCAGAACTCCAGTGGATGGCGTCTTAGTCCATTTGTGCTGCTGTGACACACTGCCCGAGGCTGGGAATCTACAAAGAACAAAACTCCCTCTTGGGTCGCGGAGGCCGGTGGCCAAGCGCAAGCCCTGGCGTCTGCAGGGCTGCCCTGCTTCCCGGGGGCCAAGGGCGAGGTCCCTCCAGCCTGCAGCCCTTTACCCAATGCCAGTCCCACTCCCCAGAGCAGGCCCTCACCTCCCAAGGTCCTCGCCTCTTAACACTGTGGCCCTGGGGACCTGGAAGTCGCCAATATTGAAGCCACAGCAATGGGCACGAAGGGAGGTCACCAAGCCTGGGARCCTGCGGACACATGGGCACCACCAGACGATGTGGGGGGACGGGCTGCTGTGGGGGCGAGGGTGGGGTGGTGCTTGGGAGACGGGACCCAGGTGGCCACGCCAAGGTGTTCCGTGGTATGTCGGAGGTAACTGAGTGAGCGAGGGCCAGGGCAGTCCTGAATGCTAGGGGCGAGTCTGACCAGGCAGCGTTCTGAGGGGAGAAAAGCCCCGGCTGCCATTCTGGTGCCCTCGTGGGGAGGGCAGAGTGGCGGGCTGGGCAGAGGCAGGCCTGAATCCGTGGTCCTGAGCCTGTTGCTTAGCAACAGGGGAACACCGGGGCTTTCTCCTGGGCAGGGGCACTGCAGGCTTCCCTGTGATGCCCCGTGGAGGGTGTCCCTGTCCTGGGAGCCCTGCTCTGTCCAGGTCTGGTCAGGTGCTGGTCACAGGCAATGCTCCATGAGGCCACCACTGGGCCAACCAGAGCTGGCCTGAGCCTGGCTGCCTGGTGGACGCACCCTCACAGACCTCTGATCCATGAAGCCACTTCCCTCTCTAGGCCGTAGGGTGGCTAGGCCAGCAGAGGTTTGGGCAGTGGTCCAGAGGGGCTCAACCCAGGGCAGGATGGGAGCAGCTCTGTCCACGCTGAGAAGCCCCAGGACTGGGCTGAGGCTTGGCCACCCCAGCCCTGTAGCTCCACCCTCGGGCTCTGCAGCCAGGCTGGAGGGTGTCGGGTGGAGGGGCAGGAAGGGGCTGTGCAGAGCTGGCGGCCAGGCCCAGGACGGGGCCGCGARTGCTCTCTCCAGGGGTGGGTCTGTGCCGCCTGGGCCTTGGCACCTACGGCACCTACAAGCCCTGCGTCTTCCTTGGTGGGAGGCTGTGCAGCTTGGCTTTCTAAGAGGGTGGTGACCAGGACCTGGAGCCCCAGCCCCTCCCCAGCAGGGTGGCCTGGTGCCAGGCTCCCTGGGAAATGGGGCACAGCCCACCTGCAGCCATCCGTGAAGTCAGGGACAATGACTCCAGAGGCAAGGCCCCCTCTGCTCCTCCCCAGGCCCTGCACCCACCATGGGCAGTCACCGCTGCGCCCGTCTGGTGAGGACCCGTAGCACGTCAGGGCTGGGCCTGAGCACACGTGGCCCGTGCCAGCCACGCTCCGCCCCCTCACTCCACCATGGCCAGAGGAGTTCTCGGGCCAGCTAGTCACTTCTCAGTCACCATGAGCCTTGGGCTCCGCAGGCCCCTGTTTCCAGCTCAGGCCCAACACAGGGACAAAGCCCCGTCACCTTGACCCTGCTAGACTCGGGGGCCACAGGTGGAGGGGGTGGGGGTCAGAGCCCACCCTCTGAGGTCCCAGGCGAGGGTCTGGACACCACCCAGCACATCCTGGTCCCTGTAGGACTCACGGGCAGGACCAGGGCCTGAACCCTGTGCCCTCTTCTGGAAGAAAGACCATTTAAGGGGAACCAGGAACTGGAAGGTTCTAGAAGGCTCCTATCAGGAAGAGCCCAGCCCCAGCCCCTTGCTCCAGGTGGCAGAGCCAGGCCTGGGGCATGGCAGGTGGACGGCCAACTCTGGGGGTGCCCCGCAGGCCCACTGCACTCTAAGGCCAAACTGTGGCTGAGCCTGGGGCAGCRTAGGTCACATGTGGCTGTTCCGTCCCTGGTGGAGCCACGCAGAGCCCTGCTGAGCCCCACATGTGTGCAGATGGCTGAGGTTTCCATGGCGACGTCCCTCTCTCCCCCTGGTTTCTACAGTCACTGCTCATTGATAGCAGTGCTCCCCCCGGGTGGCCAGGGAGGAGTGAGGGACAGGCTGTCAGGTCCATGTCCAATGTGCCCAGAGCCTCTGGGCCCTCCACTGGGCTCAGGAAGAGAAATGGAGGCAGCCCCCAGGAGCTGGAGGTTGGGCGGGGCGGGCACGCTGCTGGTGCAGTGGGAAGGGGGTGGTGTCTTGGGCACCACCAGGCACCGTCCGGCCTCAGCAGCAGGACCAACCATCTGTGGTTCACCAGGTGTGTCCTTCGCGCCTGGGCTGCACCTGTCTTTGCCCTGCAGGAGGCTAGTGCTGCCACTCCACAAGGGTGTCCTCCTCTCACTGGGACCCAGATCAAGTGACTCCCGGTGGTCCACAGCTGGAGGGGCACAGCTGGGCTTGGGCCCGGGCAGCCTGGCTCAGGGTCCACATCCCCCACCCTGCCCCAGGCTGCCTGTGCCCCGCACTGCTGCCTGGTGTGCAGTCTCCCCGTTCTCCCATCACACACCGATGCCAACCAGGGCTCAGCGTGGGGTCCTCAGCCTTAGCACAGCGAGCATCTGGGGCCAGGTGATGGGGGGCTGCCCTGTGCACAGCAGGAGGCTCAGCACATCCCAGCCCCTACCTCTAGATGGCGGGAGCCCCACCCCTGGGGTCGCCAGATATTGTCATTGTTCCCTGAGAAAAAATCACCCCAGCGGAGAGCCTCTGACATGGAGCTCCCACAGCGTGCCCTGGACCAACATGCCGGTGGCCACATGCGTCTGCAGCCAGAGAGGTGTCTGCTCTGAGCTCTGCTGCCCCTGGACCTGAACAGGGTCCCCCCACCTTGCCTCCATTCATTCCTTCACCCGAGCTTCTCAGGCCTGGCTGGCCTGGGCTTCCAGTGTCCTGAGCCCCCTCCCTCGGGGCCTGGTCCTGGGTTAAGTCTCTTCACTTGTTTCCAACGTTGCACGTGGATGGAGCAGAGCGTTGACTCAGGAAGAGCCTGAGCCGCAGTGTAGTGGGGGTGGGTTCGCTTTATTCTTCAAAGCAGTGACTCAGGCCCTGAGCATATCCGTCAGCATAACAAGACTCGTGCCAAGCAGCCTGAGCCCACTGCATGCCAGGCCCTGTGGGTCTTGCTTGGCCCTGACTGAGCTGAGGGCCGGGCAGCCATGGTGCCAGGCCAGCTGTGCTGTATCTGAGCTGGGCAGTGACTGCCGACATCACAGCCTGTCCCCCAGGAAACAGGCCTCAAGGGGAAGGGCCCCTGCCCAGAGTGGCCCTGCAGTGGTGGGCCAGGATTTGCACCAGGTCTGTCTGGACCTGGAGCCACATTCTTCCCTGTTGAGCCAGCTGGCTGAGCCCAGGAGCCACCTGCACTGGGGTCCCTCAGGCCGTGGTGGCTCCTGTCTGCCCTCACAGGACCCCAAGGCCACCTTGCACACCTCAGTGCACAGCCAGACTCTCACACAGATACGCACACGTACAAAACAAGAGCCCCTCAGACACACTCACACCTGCAGACACGTGTGCATAGACACACGTGCACACACAGACGTCGTCAGAGACACACAGAGACAACATTGCACACAGAGACCCTCCTGCACACAAAGGCAGAGGTGCACACACCCGTGTCCACTCGGCCCTGTGCCTAGTTCCACCCCACGGTGGCAACCACCTGGGTCGGACCACGTGAACCACTGTTGCTCAACACTAGGGGCCTTTCTCTCACCAGTGTGGTCCACGAGGCACTGTCACGCACCAGGTGTTGCGGGTGGTCTGCAGGTGTTCGGCACATGGGAGGGTACCACCCGTCAGGGGCTTGAACACCGTGGACTTCGGTCTCCTCAGGGGTCTTGGAACCAAGCCCTGTGGATACCAGGGCCCCTGCACTATGGCTGTGCACACGCTCACACGACACACCCCACGCACACCTGCACACACACACACACACACACACACACACACACGTGTCTACACAGTCACACGCCCCTGGGCACTGCCCCCTCCCCCGTGTGGGCTCATGCTGCCAGTCTCTGCCCAGCTCCCCCTGCTGAGTCTCCCACTCGTCCTCAATAAGCCATATGAGTGACAGTGACGTGGGGCCAAGGTGAGAGCTCACTGGAGGAGGGGCCTGAGCATCTGGTGCAGTGAGGGGCCAGGCGCAGAGGCCCGGGCAGCTTGGCTGGGAGGGAAGGCAACACGGGGAGGCCGGCCAGGGCCCCGACCAGGCCATTGGCCACAGGGTGCAGAGCAGCAGCCACCGTGGGAGCCCACGGGTCAGGCTGCAGGGGGAGGAGGCCCGAGGCCAGTGCAGAGCCCGCTGGGCCCAGGCAGAGTCCCCGGGTAGAATGGGACATCGCGCAGGGCGTGCTGTGCCAGGCGCTGTAGACTGTGGCAGCAGGAGCTGGGGATGGGAGGGGCTTCCTGGGAGGGACCCACAGGCAAGAGCTGAGCCCAGGAGCCACCTGCACTGGGGTCCCTCAGGCCGTGGCAGCTCCGTCTGCCCACCTTGCACACCTCAGTGCACAGCCAGACTCTGCCGGGGTGCCCAGTCCTCTGCAGTGCAGCCCGTTTCCCTCCAGGGGGCACGCTGCCTCCCGGGCCTCAGCGTCTTGCCTCCAGGGGAGGGGCCTGGGGAGATGCCAGGCTCCCACCCCGTGCCCCTGTCTGCATGGACGCTGTGGAGGTGGCTCTGGCCTTCTGGAAGGCAGGCCCATGTCCGGCTCTGGCTCCCCTGCTCCCAGCCCTGCGTCCCCCAGGGGGTGCCCCGGAACCAGAACACCCTTGTTCTCCCGCCTCCGTCAGCCAGGGCAGCCGGGCCTCCCTCGAGCCAGCAGGGCTGCCCGCTGCCCTTTTTCTTTGGCCTGCTCCAGGGTCTGGGAGCAGCCAGAGTGCCCTTGGTGCCTCCAGGTCACCTCCAGGACTCTTGGTCCAGGACCCTTGGTGGTGTTGGGCCCCATGTGAGGATGTCTGTGTTCTGCTCTTTCCTCAGGCTGCGGGGGCTGTGGCTCAGAGATCAAAAACGGCCAGGCCCTGGTGGCTCTGGACAAGCACTGGCACTTGGGCTGCTTCAAGTGCAAGGCCTGCGGGAAGCTCCTGGACGCAGAGTACATCAGCAAGTAAGTGGCCGGGCCGGAGCCCTCGGGGGCCGGGCTGTGTGCTGCTGCCCTGCGTGTCCCCCTCCTGCAGCGACCTCCCCACTGGGGGTAAGGAAACAGCCCACCTGACCTGTCCCCCAGCCCAGCTTCTCCTGGCCCATCCTTGGTTCCTCAAATGGTGGTAGAGGCTCCAGCTCCCTCTGCTGGTCAGGAACGGGTTTGTCAAGGCCTCGCGCTCTGTCCCTAGCCATGGCCCTCCACCTCCCGGGCACCTGGATGTTCCAAAGCTGGACACCCGTGAGCACAATGCACGGTCAGCAGATGCCGGCCACAGGAACAGGAAAGGAGGACTGTCCTGGTGGTCGGGGTTGGGACTCCAGGGCCACACACCCTGAATTCTGCAGAGTAGGGCCCTCGGGGCTGCCAGCCCTGGTGGCAGTGTCCCCCAACAGGGTTAGGGGAAGGAGCTGTTAGGTTGTTAGGGGGCAGGGCCTGGCTCTACCTAGGCCCTGGGGCACCTCCTGGGGCTCTCATGGCCAGGGAGGGGCTAGTTGCCAGGAGGCGTACGTGTGAGAGTAGCGTGTACCTGGACGCATCCTGGATGTAACTCCCCATTCTTGTGGTTGTACATGATGTGGTCACCCTGGTCGTGTGTTCATATAGGAACACAGAGTGAGGTCCAGTTCATTCCACTGTCTTTCCCATTCCCACCCCCCTCTCTGTCCCCCACTCCTCCTGTCCAGCCCGGGGAACCCCCCTCCCCCTGTGAGTCAGCATCTGCGGATCAGAGAGAACACCCGGCCTTTGGTTTTTTGGGATGGGCATGAGACTTGGCCTGACAGTCTCCAGTTCCAGCCGTTGACCTGCCCATGCCCCCACCTCATTCTTCCTGGAGGTTGGGTAATATTCCATGTGTATATGTGCCACATGGTCTTGGTCCTTTCATCTTGCAGGGCTCCTAGGGGGGTTCCAAAGTGGCTGTAGTGAAGGGAGCTGCTGTAAACATTCCATGGCTGTGTCACTGCAGTGTGCGCATTAGTAAGACCTCCGGGCCAGGGTGCGATTTTACTTGGGGACCAGTAAACTGAAGCAGGCAGCCCCCCACCGTGTAGGCGAGAAAGCGCGGGGGCAACCCGTGAAGGACAGTGCCTCCCAGGGCAGACAGGCCCGTCCTGGGCTCAGGGTCCTCTGCCCGCACCTCCCAGTCAGTGGTAGCTCTTCATGCTCTCGGGGCCAGGAGTGGCGTGTGGAATGACCAGTGGAAAAGTCCCATGACCCAAGACATAGAATGAAGTGAGCACGCGCATGCACGCGGGCGCGCGCGCGCACACACACACACACACACACACACACACACACACACAGGAGAGCAGCTACAAGGAATCCAAATGGCCCACGGGCCAGCCATGCCAACATCCTGGTTGACCTTGCCCCCATCCCGAGACATCACCGTGGGGACTGGCTGGGGGGACGGGGCCCGTCTCGTCTCTCACAACAGCACATACTGCTGTGACCTCCAGGTCAAGCGTCTTAAGGCAGAGCCCCCTCACAGAGCTGAGCCTCCGTCCAGGGCAGGTGGGAGTGCCCGAGGTGGACCAGCGGGAGTCACAGGGCCCCTTGAGTGCAATGGCCGACGGTGCCCAGCCCTGCACAGGCCRCCACCCCCGTGCAGTGCTGCCGGCTCACCCACACGCTGGCGTTACTTAGCAGCCTCCAGCGTGTCTCGGAACTCAGGGGGAGGAGGCGTGGGTTGCCATGGAGACGTCATCTTTGAACCTGCAGAGTTGGCTCAGACACACCCACTGTGGGGTCGGATGGGGGCCCTGCGGTCGGCAGCCTCGGGAGACGGATCCTGAGGACCCGGCTCTTCTTCCCCTGGTGGAAGGAAGGGCCGTCCCTCTTCCCCCAGAGGTGGCCCACTCAAGGCCCAGGCACAGACCATCACAGAGGGATGCAGCCCTGGCTATGTCCCCCATGAGCACCCGTGGGCCTGGCGGAGGGCCAGGGAGTGGAGGGAGGAGGTGCCCTCGTCACTGGGGTGCAAGGCTGAGGTCAGAAGAACAGCCAGGTGGTGCAGGAGAGGGGCCCACCTTGGAGTGGCAGGTGCCCCTCTTCCCAGTCACCTTCATGCCCAGCTCCTCCTGGGCCACAGCCTGTGGCTGGGAGGACAGCTCTGGTTGGCAGTTGTTGAGCAAGTACCGGCCCAGTGCTGGACGCTGGCCAGGACCTCTTAAGTGCTCCTTACTATTATTTCTCCCCTTTCTCCGTGGGGAAGCTGAGGCTCAGGAGGTTAAGTGACTTGCCCAGGGCCACACAGATGGGCCTGGGGTTGAGCCCAAGTCCCTCTCCCACCTGCCATCCCACCTTCCCACACTGAGCATGGCCACCTGGAAACCTCAGTGCCACCTTGAGCCATCCCTCCCCTGCCCGTAAGGCTTGTGTCTGATGAGGGCAGAGCGGACCACAGATGGCCCAGGACTCACGGCGGCACGGCCGTCCTGCTCGGCTGCCCACTGGCTCTTCTCCTGTAGCCCACTTAAAGCAGAAGCAGAGTTGGAACAAGCGGCCCTGGGAGCAGCTCCCAGAATGATGGTCCCACTCCATCCACACTGAATTCCCGTGCCACCCACAGCCCGGTGCACAGAGGGGAGGACACACCTCTGGACTTCCTCACAGCTTGCCCAGGAAGGGGGCTCTGTGCAGTGGGTGGCCTTCGTGGTCATCTTACAGGAATGACCTGCTAGAACCCAGCCGGACCTTCCTGGGGACGTTCCCAGGGAGGCATTGCTGCTGGGCGTGGGCCCCTCGTGAAGGTAGTCGCATCCTGGGATCCTGGGGGCCCCGCCCGCCCTGACCTCCGTCTCTCTGCAGGGATGGGCTGCCGTACTGCGAGACCGACTACCACGCCAAGTTTGGCATCCGCTGCGACACCTGTGAGAAGTACATCACGGGGCGCGTGCTGGAGGTAAGCAGCGGCCCGCGGCCAGGGCTGGGCTTCGGGCCCATCCACCCCACCCAGCCCTCCATGAGCCCCGACCTCCACACCCGGCTCCACTCCCACCTGCCGCAGGCCTCCTGGGGAGCCTCGTGTGTGCCACTTCCCAGGGCCCACTGGGGAGACCTTGGGCTCTCCTGGCCCAGCCTTCCCGTCCAGCCTGGGACTCAGGTGAGGGCAGCGAGACTGAGCCCTGAAGACAGGTGTGGTGCCCCTCCCTTCCGCAGGACTATGTCCCCGCAGGAGGCAGAGTGGCCACGGGCAGGCAGCCTGCATGGTGACTGCAGGAGGGGACACTCCCAGGCCTGGCAGGCTGTGCTTTGATCTGGGTGGCGGGCGGTGGCACGTTCCTGGTGTGAAAGGCACGTGTACAGCCTAGGTTTCCACTCCCCGTCCAGCCAATCACCAGCCCAGCACACCCTGCGGCCCCTCCTGGGCTCTGTGCTGCCTACTGGCAGGAGGGCGGACTCTCCAGCCCATGGTGGTCAGTGGCCCCTGGAATGACCAGCTCAGGGAAGAAGAAGGGGCTGGGCAAGGCCAGGGGCTGTGGGAGCCCTCASGAGAAGCACAGGGGCAGCCCTGGGGTTCCAGCGAGAGCAGGGCAGAGGATGAGCTGGGGCTGGCGTGGGGCTGCAGGGAGCAGGTGACCGGGAGCCCGCCCTGCAGAGCTGAGCCGCCTTCCTCCCCAGCCTCTGCACCAGTGCCCTGTTCCTGCCGGGCTCTGGGCTCCAGGGGATGAGGCAGGACCACCCAGGGGCTTCAGCTACCTTCATTCCAGCTGCTCCTTCCTCCAGCCCTCCCTCACCCACCTGGGAACAGCCCACCACACAGAGGTCTCCCTCTGCTGAGTGGAACCAGGATGGATTTAGGACTCACCCTTCCATAGGAGAAGGTTTGTTGAAGCCAAGGACAGCATGAAGCACAGAAAATGTCACCACAACGTGTCCCTGCCCAGGTCTCTGGTTCCCTTCCTCGTGTTTTCTTTCTGTGATTAGGTTGACATCAAGCCGTCACTGCAATATTATGTCATGGTGATTTCCAACTCAGAGTCCCCRTTACCACATGTCCGTGTGGCTAGAACGTGATCTGGAGTGTTTGTCTGGTGTTCCGGACCTCGGGCAGCTTTGTTGAGATGTGACGCCCCCTGAGGTGTCCAGCTCGGCACAGGCACGTTCGGGGTGGCCAGGCCCATTTTGGATGCTCTCATCACCTTGAAAAGAGCCCCTTAGGCTTCGGCTGTCCTTCCCTGTGCCGCCAGCCCTCGGTGACCACCAGTCCCCTGTGCCCGAGGGCTCCCCTGTTGACCATGTTCCATGCAGATGGCCTCAAGATCTTCCGTGACTGGCTCCCGTCCCACCGGGTAATGCTGACACCCCCCTCGCAGGGCACGTGTTTTAACACCACGCGGCACCGTACCCGCCACGCGGCTGCCCCAGGGCTGGCCAGGCTCCTGACTGTGGTCCACAGGGGCGCCCTCCAGTCCCACTGCAAATACAGAGTCTGCAGCTGGACTCGTTTTCTGTTATAAGGTTCTGTTTGCATTTCCAATTTTCCTTCAGAGGAATTCACAGAAATGTAGAAGCTGGGTCAAACCTGTGAGTTGGAAAGTTCTGGAAAGCAATTGCAAATTGTGTCAAAAGTGCCTGGCTTTCAACTCCTGGGGGCYAAGTGTCCCTTGTCACTTTGAGTTGTGCAATGTTCTAGCATTTCAACCATCCTTTGTACACTGGGTCTGCTGGGGTTTCGGGGTCTCCCTGCTGTCTCCTGGGAGTGCTTCTTACCGTGAGACTGCCATTTTGTCTGCCCTGAGTTCCGGAAGTGTCTTCCTGGGCAGCAATCATAGCCAATATTCCTACCCTCCAGATGTGGACAGATGACCCATCCTGTCTCCTCCCCCAAGGACCCCTCCTGTGCCGGGTCCTGCACCTCCCAGTTCCCTGGGGCCTTACCCTCCCATCCTCCTCCCCTGCCCACCCGAGGCTCCCGGCCCCCATGGCTTTCAGGTGGCTGCAGTGTCTCCCATTGAAAGCCGACCCCACTGGGCAGCCTGGCCTGCAGTTCCTTCCTCCCTCCACAGCTGCCTGGAGACCTCCCGCACCAGCCTTGTCGCTCCCCTTCTCTGAGGACCTCGGGCCTTCCCCTCCCTCCTCTCAAGTGGCCTGGGCACTGGGCACCTCCAGGCTCACCTGGCTGACCCTCTCTGAAATGCAGAGGCCCTGGAGCTCAGCCAGCTGTAGGAATCCCCCACGCGTGCCAGGCCAGGACCCCTATGAGCAGGAGGCAGAGCTGGATGTGAGGCCGGCCACCTCCCCACCACATGGCCTCTGCCCGTGCACGGACTTAATCCTGTCTCCAGCTTGTGACACCTCGTGCACCCTGGGCTCGCTTGTTGCTCCAGGTCCAGGAGCCTGACAGCAGGAGCCCAGCTCCCTAACATCGGGCAGCAGCCCTGCCCCAGACAGGGTCAGGCCCTGGCGAGCCCCCCTGCCTGCCCCGCCTCCCCCAGCAGCGCTGCCCCTGAGCTGGCCACAGTCAGGAGTCGGGGCATCTTCTGTGCCGTGGCCCAGCTCCCTGTGCTCTATGGTGACAGATGGGGAGGAACCTTGACCTCAGGCCACCAGCCGGCCCCTCAGGGTGGACTAAAGTACTCCTGGGCCACATGTGGGATCTGGGCTCTGGTGTCCCGAGGGGCCCTCTGGGTTTTCTGACCCTGTGCTGCCAGGCCTGGACTCCTCCTTGTCAGCAGTGGAGGGTGAGGTGCCCCGGGAGGACCTGCTTTGTTCTTGCCTCTGCTGGGCGGCGAGCTGCAGGGCGGCGTGGGGAGCCGCAGGCTCTGCAGAGCTCCGAGCATCCTCCTCGGCGGTGCGAGGCGGGAGCTGCAGGCGGAGACAAGCTGGGCTCCGCAGAAAGGAGCCGCCACGGGGCTGGCACCCAGCTGGTGACAGCGGGCTTTTGCAGAGCAGCAGGAGCAAGTGACAGATCTGGAAAAAAATCGGAGTTGGGAGGATGGGGGAGGGGTGAGGGCTCCGCACTGGCCACGGGATTGGGCTGAGGTGCCAGGACACCGTGCAGGTAGGAGACCTGGCCAGGCACCTGGAGGGGTGGAGGGGCGGAGGGGCCTCACAGGAGCCGTGCTGGGCAGTGGGGTGAGCTCATGGGTCGGCTCCATTGGGCCCAAGGCCCCTGGGGACACTTGTTACCCCCCTGTGCCACCTAAGAGGCTTGTGGGTGCCCCTGGCCGTCCTGTCCTTGGAGTGAGCAGGAGAGCATCCCGGCTCCCCCAGCAACAGGAGTCCTCGCTGGGCTGTGTGTGGTGGGCACAGTGCCATCCTGAGCGCCGAGCGCCAGCAGCCGGCCGTGAAATGTGCATTTGGTGGTTCCCTCCCCACCGCCCCCCCCAGCCTCCTCGCTTCCTCCTGAGTATGGAGGCTCCTCGTCCTGCGTCTCTGGGTTCTGTCTGAAGGAGGCTGCTCCACACTGGGGTCGTCTGGGGTCTGGAGGGGCTGGTATCTGCACCCCTCCTTCTTGGCTAGGATGGACAGCAGGGACTCCGGGGGCCTGGCCTGAGAGCACAGGTCGGGGGGGCAGCCCTGCTGCTGGCAGAGGCTGCAGCTGGGTGGCTCCGGGGAGGGTTGGCGTTGCCCCCGCAGAGCTGCCTGGGCTGGTGGCGTCGCCGAGACAGCCCGTGGTGACCCCAGGCTGCAGCTGGGTGAGGGCAGAGTGTGGAATGAGGGGAGTCAGCGCTGTGGGGGGCCGGCTCCTTCAGGCAGGTCACCTCTCTGTGCTCAGCACCGCTGGGTGCCCCCCRTGGGCAGGGAGGGAGCAGATGGGGGCGGATTCTTCCTCACGCGCCCTCCCTCGACCCTGGAGCCCCGCGCCCGCCCCTGCTTGCTGGTGCAGCATGGGTACCTGATTCTGTCTCCATGGTGATGACGCCCAGCGCCCGTCCTTCTGGGACCCCTGGCTAATGCCCCCTCCCTGGGCCTCCTGGCTTCTTCCTCCCTCGTCTGGCCTCCCCATTCCTTCCTGCAGACCCTGGCTGGACTCAGCGTCCCTCCCTGGCTGGACTCAGTGTCCCTCCCTGGCTGGGGGCTGGGTCCTTAGGGTGGGTGGCCTCTGCAGAGAGGGGCCACCCAGGCTGCCCCGCCCTGTCAGGCGGCCACTTCCACTCTCTCCAGTCCAGGATCACACCTCTGCGACCCCAGGATGCTCATGGCTGGCCTCCTCCTGTCTTGTTGGGGGCACTGTCCCTAAGCAGGTGTGACTTATCATTGGCAGAAAACAAGCTATGTCCTTCCGATCCGCGGAGAGCTTMCCAAGGACAGCGAGGCGGCTCCCCATGCGCCCACCTTACAGTGGAYGTCTAACTAAAGACACGCTCGGGGAACCTGCTTATCAGCCCAGACACAAATCACACCTGCAAATGCCACCACCCAGGCCGCTTAGCACTGGAAGGGATCCTTTCAAATTTTGCACACACAGACACAGAGACACACAGACACACAGACACAACACAGAGACAGACACAGAGACACACAGACACAMAGACAAAACACACAGACACACAGACACAACACATAGACACACAGACACAACACAGAGACAGACACA